TATGTACACTATAAAACAAAGTCGCTATCCGCCGTATGTCTGTCCCTACGTAGGGATGCTTAGATCTTTAAAACTACGCAACGAATTTTGATGCGGTTTTTTTAATAGATAGAGTGATTCTTAAGGAAGGTTTATATGTAGAGGTATAATACATGCAATACATGCATATTACACCCGTGCGAAGTCGGGGCGGGTCGCTAGTATTTAATATAAGTACATGATATATTGACTGCACGTTTGGTGCGGTAGATGGGCAACGGCTACTGCGCAACGTGTAGCGGGTTCAATTCCCGCACAGAGCAACTCTTTGTGTGATCCACAAATTGTTGTTCCGGGTCTGGGTGTCATGTGTATGTGAACTTGTATGTTTGTAAAAAATAACTAATTATTTCCTTTATTTTTATTTAGCTATTTATATGACAATGTAGAGTAGTTTCCACTTCCACATAATCAAACTAGACTGCTCAGATAAACACGAAGAGATATTAAAGAGCGTTGTCTTAACTATCACCAAAATCTTCCGTCCGAACCAATTGATCAAGAGCAATAACAGAACATTACGCGGAGAGATTAATCTCGGTCGAAAAATGGACAAGATTTCACGAAATTAACGAGATTGCTTTCCTAAAGGATTTTTGTTTGATGTTATGATAGACGACTAGATGTTTGTTTTGCTGTTATTTGATAGTTACGTACGCCAAAGTGGAAGCAGTAAACTACTTAAAAATGATTTAAAAGCTCACAAATCCAGGTGTAACTGGGGCGTAACAAGAAATTCGCATTCTCAATATCTATAGTAAGTTAGTAACTTCCATACATTTCCTACTCCATGTATTTATTTGTTTGTTCTGCTTTAGAAAACACATTTATATGTGTGTAGTTATGTAGGCACACATATAAATCGTTCGTGTTTGAAGGCGAGTGTTTCGACGTCGCGTTGGTAAGCAACTCGGTCGTCGGTCGGCACATTACTCGGCTGCCGGCTCCGGACGCTAGTATTGAACATTTTACCTTCGTTGGAGAACACTGAGTACCGACTAGTACCGAGCGTGTAGCTGTTAAGTAGAGCGCACTGCGGCTAATGGCTCGGAACGTCTCGGAAGTAAGTGTGCGTTATCGCGCGTGCGCCGCGCCGCCCTCGACCCGCTTGCATTCATTACGCGACGCTGGCGCGGGCCTCCACACACGCTGTGTGTTTCGATCATACTTACAATACCAGACAGCCCATTGTTCCAATGTCCATGTCCATCCGGCAGCGACAGTCACGTGTCCGCTGCTGTACCAGAGTCCAGAGACAAAGGTACAGTGACACATCTCCCTGAGATAAACCTTAAAGAGAGCAACAACACGACGGATATGGAGCGGCCCCGAGTGCCTGCAGTATGTATGTGTGACGTGGCTGCGGCTGCCGCCGGTGGCCACGTACCGGAGAACGCGGAAGTGTAGCGACCGCGCCGCCTCGCACTATTACGATACTATGCCCACTTACACGGTTCACCTACTAAGGAGCAGTAGCTAGCTCATTACGCTGTCAGCA